TTATGTAATCACGTAACGATCGATCTGCCTAATTTTGACAAATCAAAATGTCCGCATAATTTTGGTCGTTGACTGTAACTGTAATTGATATCAGTTGGTTAAAAGTTTTTGACTGACCGGTTAATTGACTAATTCTAACCGATTTGGTGGAGAGACTTAGATAGACAAATATGAGTAATAGTTTGAATAATTTATTTCGGAAATCTTGATTTATAGATAGTGTGAGAACCTCGCAAGTTAGAAAATTAGCTATAGAAATTATCTGGGAATGCAAGCAAGAAGTAATATGACACAGAACTCGCATTAATGGTCTAGGATCTGCGTACTTCCTCCTTTGAAAGCATGTCATATATTTCGCTATTTTCCCTTAATTTGTGCTTTAATTTTATATATTGGAATAAACAAACGTTTTATTTTGTATCAAAAAAAACAACAAATTTCTTTAGCAGAATAATGTAAAAAAAGCTTTATTATTAATTGTATAGTTTTCCTATTTTTGGATCATTTCGATTATTTGATTATAATTCACATTTTGATTTTTGAATTCTCTGATTTGAGGTTAACGCTTGAAATCATCAGTGGGACCGAGATCAAATAAATCAATGTATATATTAGAGTTTTCCCGAACGTAAAATTCTATTGATCGCGACTGAAAACTCACAGTATCGCGTGATGGACGGTATGCAAACACGTTATTTCCTAAGACTTCACTGTATTCTTTTTCATTATTCTTGAAAATTCTTTTAAATGTAATAATGCTAATCTCTTTTGAATCCAGCAAAGCATTAATTACACGTTTTCCCGCTTCATAATATTTTTGTTCTTGAAGCAGTTTTGTTGAATCAAATTTCCGACCAATGTCAATTAATTTTTGCTTCTTGATATCTATGAAAAAAGAATTAAGCAAAACAGGATTGTGTAAATTTGTTTGCAAAATTATAAAAATAATTCCTACCTTCAATGGATCGTCCAGCTAAAATACCATTTGCAATAGTCTTCAACTCTAAAATGCGACCACCAACCAATTGATATAATTCTTTTGCCATTTCTTCATCGATCTTACGCTTCTCAATCAAGTATTTCATTGATTCTTCTTCGCTAATGTCACTGATTTCCATTGGTGGCGTTATTGCTCGAGACCAGGCACTTCGAGCTAAAATAAGAATCACGATCTGTAAGTCGGATATTTCCCTCAAGAGCAAAAATAGAATACT